TGATTGATATGAGTGAAACATCGGAGTTAAAGCGCAGGTAATATTGTATTGTAAAGATCGATATACCATCATAATAGATGATAACAGTCGTGGCGTTACTCTTGCTCAGAGCTGTTCATTCTTTTCGAATACATGGTTGATGAGTTTTGTAAAGGAGAATGTATTTGCTGGTTTAAGAGGACTTCATTGGAGATGGTTCAAATTAGCGCTTAAAAAACTTTATAGGACCATCATTGGTACCACTTCCCTGCTGTCAGAACCTTCCCCATGTCCTTTTCTTCTAGAAGCCTGAAAAAAATCAAGAATATGTCCTGCCAGGGCAAGGCTTAGGGACGTGCTTATTTCTAGCAGCACGCTGCAGTGCCGCAAACGAACGGTTCACTCTGGCTGCTTTCATAGTTCGCCGGCCGGCGAGCGAGCCGGCATGTCGGCCGAGGTAGTGCTAGGGACGGGGAGGGAGACAGACGGGCAAATACAAATTGTTTTGATCTTACTTTTCTTTGTGTTCAGCCCTTCGAAGGGGCTTGGGCGCGACGCGACCACGTCGACCAACAATTTGCATTTGCCCTTCTGCCTCCCTTCCCTCTCCCTAGCACCACCTGGGCCGGCCGGCGGACTAGGAAAGCAGCCTCTGCAAACCCGTCGTGACGGGCACCTACGAAACATAAGGTATGTCACCGCATGTGCGCTTAGTTAACACTACTTACACATTGATTAAGTGAAGCGTTATGCCCGATCGTCCACAACGTGCGGCGACCATTGGCTAGTTGTCTCACCGCCCTGGTTGGTTTTCAGCAATTTGTCACGACGCATTGCGTTTCGTTCAGGATAACATTCATCACCTTAATTGTGACTATGGCAAACTCAACCGCTAAGATCATCACGCTGTTATTCAAGTTTGCCTTTGTTCAAAGCAGTCTGCCAATAGAAGAATATAGGACAATGGGCAGCCGTGTCTGAATAACGCCACCAGTTGGCAGCCAATAGGGGGTACATTCGTGCGTCCGGCGATGCGTGCAGCAAATTGCACGGCGAAATTCATAGCAATTTTGACGACTTTGGCTCCTATCATTGGGGCGCAAACTTGAAGTAGATCAGATTACTATGGTAAGCTGATCCTACTAATCTACTTTATTTCAAATTTGGGCCCCAACGATAGGCGTTAATGTCGTACAAATCGCCACGAAATCCGCCGCGCATCTTGCCGCGCGCATCTCCGCACGCAACGCGCGAATGTTACGTACCCCGCCAGAAGAGATTCCTACAATTTCTATGCCGCCTCTACAGAACTTCGCTTTTTTATCACCTTCCTTTTGAAGGCTTCGCGACCTGATCTACACTCCACGTCCTGAGAAATGGAAGTTATCAGTGTATCTCAATTCGCTGGAAGGCTTAGTTACTATCGATTTAGCGGAATTAAAAGCAGCTGGACGCAATTTTGTCAAGAGTACTGTTTTCGACAACAATGTTGGCAGGTCGAAGCCGCTATCACGCCTGAACCCGTACTTTATTCAGGTATACAATTTTTGATATCCTCATAGTAGGTGTGGTTCGCACATGCCAGTGCCGTTTGTAACGGTAGTGATAGAGACGGGTGTGGGACTTCGGTAGCGTTCGTGCGAGGACCGTCTGCAACCTATAAAGGATTAGGGTCCCGACACGACTAGCTGAGACCGTCGCGTGCGATGACCTTCACGTAAGCGACGATGGTCAGTGCAGACCACAACCGCTGGTGGCACTTAGCTTTCCTACAGGAACTGTTGAGACACAATTTGCAGGCAGCTGTTAACTATATCCGCAAAGCTGCAGCTACAGTAATTCATCTCTTCAGAACCTGCTTCATGATCTACGTTTTTGTTATATTGAAAATCTGAAGGCGAAAGTACCTTTAAGAAGTAGGAGTAAGTAAAGTAGTAGTAGTAAAGTACAATTACCTTCGGGGAAAAAAAGGGGAGAATGTATGGGCAAACATAAACGTATCTGCGAAGAGCAGGCTGTTGAATCAATCAGGCCGGCCTTCTTACTGCACTTCAACGCACTGCACCGATTCACTTACATACATATATGAATGGATAGGTGCTTTGCGAGAAGCTGGGACATCCTCTAACATTTTTCACAAGCACATGCAATTGGAAGCTCTGTACGAAGAGTTGAGTGTAGTTGAACAACTGCACCACACCACGGTGAGTGAAACTGACAGGTCACGCGGAATCATATGACCCATAGGCGGTAGTGCATGCACACTCACAATTTTGCCGCTCAGGTTTATATTAACTAGTGTTTTTGCATTTTTTCATCAAAAATCAAAGGTGGGACAGGCAAACTGAAACCATTATGAACAAACAGCAAGGGGTTTCCGGATAAAAGTAGAACAATACGAATTGCCTGATACCTACGATCAAATAGGGCGAGTAAGGGACGATAAACCTACTTACATAAGACCCTCTAACGACCACAAGTAACCGCTGTTAGGCTGGACCGTCAGTTTGAAGGAAATCTTGGAAAAAAGGCAGCCTTTGGAAACTGAGTATCACAACATATCACTTGGTATTGGAAAGTCGGATGACAGGGGATCAGGCACAATGCGTAGACTAACAACAGCAGAAGGCACAAACATTGCAGTTACTGGGACGTAAAACTGGAAAAAGAAGTGAAATTCATTGAAATGGATAAGGGGAAGACGAACAAAGGAAAGATGGAAGCATTGAACAACTTGAAAGCGAAAAAAGAACGGTGAAGGGGTTNCTAGAACAGTCTGAAATGAAATGGAGCCACAAACGACGGAGCCTAATAATGGGTAACTGCTCTTGACACAAAATCAACCGCGTAGATGGAATCCTGTTGGAAAAAAATCACTGATTTATGGTCGGCTTACATTTGCCAGTAGTTCAGGCTGAGAAGGTACAGAACAAATAAGCAAGAGGTCAAAAGACAACACAGATTTTGTTGGGTAGTAGACGCTGGAACGCTGAGGCCGGCAACCAAGAAATGCCACCGTAATCCGGTCACCGCTACAGTAAGCCCCTTTACACTGTTAAGACCAAACTCTAATGGTCGGCGAGTACAGTACTAAATGATAACCAAACGAGAAGCAGTATCATTCGTGACATGCCATCGAAATGAAGGAAGCTGACAGTGGAGAGCAATGAAAAAGTACGGTAACTGGAAATCGCAAGTGTGGGTTCGAGTCCCACCCGAGGCCAAAGTTTTGCCCCCAAATCGCCAACTTTGTGTGACAGCGGAAAGTTTTAGTTTCTTAAAAAGTATGTTTGTTGAGAGCTAGCTCCCTCACACTGCCTAACTAGGCCATTGATTTCTAGTAGCCATATTATGAGTTTTCTTGATTCAATCGTCACAGAAGAAAAAATGGTGCTCGCTCCCCTGAACTGGTTACATTCAGAAAGATGCTGTTGACTTTATATACAATGACCCTACTGGAGATCGGGGCGATATCCAGCTCTCTACAGTGAAAGAGATCTTTTGGAATCATTTTTCAGACCCTTCATTCGTTTGAAAACGTCTTTAGCTTCAGGTCGCTGAAGCCAGACTTTGAGGGCCTTACCCCACCATCAAAGTTAGCTAGATCGATTCCTTCGCCCCTCTGGACAACTGGTCCTCACATCACTGGTATCACCTTTGTCTTGGGGTCCATGTAGACCTGGTTATCAATTGGTCAAATGGCTCAGTCAAAATCTTCCACAACTCGAGCGGGACCTAGACAGTAAGAATGGATAGGTTTTCTCGAAAAGCTGGGACGTCCTCTCACACTTTCTACAAGCACATTCAATTAGTAGCTCAGTCCGAAGAGGTCGACTCTGTTGAACAACTGCACCACGCGCATTGGGTGAAATTGACAGGTCACAGGGAATCATATGACCCATTCGTAAAGGCGTACGCATACTTACAATTTTGCCGCTTAGAGTTCCTTTACCTATGGTTTGCAATTTTTTATCAGAAATTCAAAGGTAAGGCAGACAAACCGGAAACCATTATGAACCAACAGATGCATTTTTCCTGATAAAAGTAGAACAATATGGGACGGGCTTCAAAGAACCTCGTAATCCTGAGCTCAGCAAGTTAAGTGGGAAATTCAGTGAAATAACAAGTTATTGCTTCAAAGATTCATAGGGATTTGAGGTTGTTCATGGTATTTACAGCTCCTGCCTGAGGAAGAAAAAGATGCTACTGCAGTCGACAAGCTTCTGCATGAGTTGGACTACACTGTCGATATCTTTCTCATGGACTTAATAATGCATACGAATGAAAAAGATTTGATGTGTGATACTGATTCTACAGATTCCGGTGAAACAACGGAAGAAGATTCCTGTGAAACAGCAATAGAAGATTCGGATTCTGAGAAAGAAAATGAGGACCTGGAATCGGACGAAGAGAAGAGATTTCCTGATGACTACGATCTCCTTGCACCCATTAGACCATTCATTCGTTACAATGAAGATACTCATCACTTGGAGTACCATAGGTATCATGAAGAAGAAACGACCCAGAAAGAGGATAGTCCTGATTTCTTTCCTACTGCCAATTCCATTCCTGCTACCAACAATCAGCCCACACCCGACCAAAATCCCGTGGTCCCCGACCAAAATCTCGTGGTCAATCCCGCTTATTTGAGTGATAGCTCAAGCAGCTCAGATGATGATGATCTGTTCCATGAGGTCAACATAGTTCCGAACGTAATCCCGGATTCAGACAATAATTTCAATCAGCCAAATTCTGATGAAGTAGCTGCACCGATACCGGAGGGGGCTATGCCAGTGGAGGCCAATCGCACACTATCACTATCATCTGAACCTGTGTTTATGAGCATGTCGCGATCCGGTGATGGGCAAGAAATCTCTGGACTCTTCCTGTTGTTGACTGATGGTAACGGTAAGAACAGCAGTAAGCAGTAATTGCATGATTTCTACAACTTTAAAGTTAAATTAGTTTTATTGATTAAGGAAACACTTGGGCAGTTCCTTATGAGTGGGTTCGTGATGTGCATGAAAGCGAGTAATCCAGATGAGGATCATCGGAATATTCAGCTCTGGTCATACTGCTGTTAAATATTTTGATATTTATTTGTTTTTGGTTTTTTCTGTTCAAGTAAACTGTGTTACAGTAATAAGAAAATTGCGAATTTATTAAATCTCTATAGAAAAGTTGAATCTTCAGTAAAAGCATTAAGAAAACAGAAAAATCACAATATCAATTACATCAACAGAAGTCTTATAAGCACAACAGGAATGTAGTGAAGTAGTATCAATCGAATGACGTGTACAAAGTAATAAAAAATACATGTTCTTAAACATGGAAATATATAATCACGAGATAGTCGGAAGCTCGTCGGACGAGTTGTCGTGTTGCCGCCCACAATAAGAAGGCGGCGTCATCTAAGTCTGAATGCGAAGAAGTGATCTATCGCGGAAGTGTAGCTGTGGTGTCCGGTGAGTCGCCGAACGAATCGTCAGACATCGGCGCTTTTCGACGATCGTTGTATTGACGGAACATGGAGGCGATGATTTCACCGACAAGCATGTCACCACCGTTCGTCTGTAAATGAACGATTTGAGGGCCATGTTGGTATGATGGTCCAGACTTTGGGATATCACCTGAATAAGCCGCAGCAAGAAAACTCCATCGGATGTTAGGTAGTTGCGAACGAATCCGCTCACTTTTTCCTCTTCTACGCGAGTTGGTTCGTCACCAATCTCGCCCATGCACCTCAGGTATCTGAAGGAAAAGATAGGGAAATGGTAAACAAGTCTAAAATAAACAATTAAGTGCAAACAATTCCTAGACATAGGATTTCGTTTCCAGGAACTTAACGCTCATACCGGACGAGAACAAGCTTTCCACGACATTCAATCGAACGAGTAACCAAGC